AACCAACGTTATCCATTAGTATCAGGAGAGCTAAACTGGGCTCAATATAGCATTGCTCCACCTGCACATTTCTGTTTAACACAACTAGTGAGATTGTTTGAGCACTCGATGTAAAGTAATCCGCGGGGCGGTTGGTGTTGAAGGTAAAGATGGAACTGGCAACATGCTCAGGAAAAAGTCAGACATTATTTGCAAACATGACTTTTGGACACAGTTTCTTTCCCCACGTTTGAATATTGTCCATTTGATCAGATTTAAGTTTAGCTTCACTTTTAATACTCGTTACTATTCGTTTCAGATGGGACAACTAATTCAGTTGAAAAATGAGAATCTGAATTAAAATGTTGAAAGTAACATGGAAAATTAGAAATGTTCATAAATGAATTAGATAATATATATATATATATATATATATATAATTACTCAGTTGTTCGCCTATTCCCACCCGTTACTGTGGAGCAAAAAGGAAAACAGCGTGTCCTTGATTTCAAACTGAGGCAGACTAAAGCACTCTTCACTATCATAGCAAATTGTATCATCTGTAGCTAGCTAGCTATCCAAATTAGCATTAGCGGAAGCTCCATGAGTTGGTAGAAACGCCGTCTCAGCAGACTTTTTCATGTTTCCAGCTGTCCTCGTCTGAACCTTTAAACCTATACATGACATCGTGCTAGAAGACTGAAGACAAAACATTAGTCTTCTTCAGCTAATGATCCATGTAGAAGACATAAACAAACATTTATTTATTTTATTATTATTGGTTTATTGTATTGAGCTAGTTAATTCTAGTATCATCACTATGAAGAGGGAAATGTAAGCTCTGACAAAGTGTAACTCTGTTAATGACTAGCTCGTTGGCTTTAATTTGAATTAATGCAGTTATACCTAATAAGCTAGTTAGCAAGACATGCTAATGATTGCAGCTTTTATTAGAGCAGAAAAACGAAATTGAATCCATTCTTTATACTTTTCTCTCATGTTTTTGGATTGAGAGAGACTAAAAACCCCCAGCACCACCCAAACTTTTTAAATGCTAACATTTGCTCCTGTTAACAGTTGACAGTGTTTGGGGGATGACTTTATCTAGCTGTTATTTAACCAGTTGTTTGATCGGGAGGGTGTCCATGTTCCCACATTTCCTTTTTCATAAATTTGTATCAGATTTTATTCCCCTTCTCCCCCTAACCCTAACCCCATAGGGCTGTGGGAACATAGGGGTGACCCCGTTTGATCAACAGAAAATTATTTAATAGCAATTTTGATGATACATTAAATAGTAGATAGTTATAAATAAGCCGCACACAGACACTGAAAAAGCAATGCCACCTCAGTTTATGGGCAAACGTACAATTTATCTATATACTTACTTAGCCCACCAAACCTCCCATCATTCCACTGGGGAACATGGATGGAGTATTGCGGATACATACTGTACATTGAGTGACAGAGGGGCGCAGGTGGCAGCCTGGTTTCTCTCCACGGACCTGCTGGTTTCCGTCTGTAAGCGGAGCGAGGCCGGAGATTTGCAAGTAGACCAGACACACACACACACACACACACACAGACACAGTGCTGAGAATTACTTGTAAGCAGAGAAACGGATGATTCACACACTCCCTGACTTACAGATGGTATATACATATGTAATGTTAAGAGTACATGTTAGTGAGCATTTATCACCCCCCATGTACACTGGTAGTCTGTGTGTGACTGTTGACATATTGAAGAATGTGGCTTTTTTTTTTACTCATGCTCCTCCAGTAAGGTCACAGCTTTTTTCCACATAAGTTCAACATAGACATTAAAGCGCTGGTTGCCAGAGGTTGTATAGATGACAGATGCTTTGAACTACATTCCCTCTGTTCAGGCATCATCTCTGTGCACTCTGTCCTATCCGTCAGTCAGCTTAAATCAGGTTCAAGTGCTCCACAGGCCTGTATTTAATGGTACTCAGGTTTATAACCCTCTCCTCAGTGGTTTGTCTTGTAGTCCCAAGGCTTTCCTTAACACTCTTAAATGTGTTGTGTTGTTGTGCAGCTTGTTACTTGGTAAGAACTGTACAGAGGTTAATGTGTTTACCTGTAAGCTAAAACTTGTCAAATAAAGCTTTCACACACCACCACTGTCTCAAGTCTTATCAGGTTTTAATACCCCCTCTACTGGTTGTTCGGAGTAATGCTGTTAAAATGGGGCATTTGGTGTATGTTTCAAATATGAAAACTGGACCGACTGTAGATAAAGTAATATTATGACCGCTAGAAGTTTGGGTTTGAAAATGATAAACAATACAGGAGTCAGTACATGACAGCAATAGAGAACATATTTCAACATTTTAACTCAAATATTGTTTCCTCTACATAAAGGGAAAATGAAAACACCAAGACGTGAGGCTTGATTTACCAACAGTTTTTATTGAAAACAAACAGGTGCAGGGTCATAGCTCAGGCTATGCTGCCAGCGTTGGAGGCAATCCTGGGCCAAAGGTCAGCGCACTCTTTTGCCACTGGGCCTGTGATGGCTGAACCTGCAGATACAGAAGAAAGCAATTATTTTAGTTCCAACACCGCACGAAACGTTACCTGAGGGACAACAGACTGCTGCAGTTCAAACTAGAGTATAATATTAATTTAAAAAGGAGAACAGTGTCAACTGTGCAACATGTAAAACAGTTAAAACAGCAGGTTAAAGCTGTCTCGTCACTGATTGAGATCAGTCAGCCACTGTGTCGCTGCCGTCTCACCCACAGTGAGGAGGTCAATATTCCCTTCTACGACAACTCACCCAGCCACTGAGCAGACAAAGCAAGTGCTTTTTGGAAGGGGGAACATCTAACTTACAAATAAACTAAACCGCACTAAAACATTTCATTATTTTACAACACTTGCTAAATAACCGCCAACACCACTTTGGATAAACTTTTAATGTGACTAAAAAAAACAAAAAAACACAGCTCTCAATTTTATTTTTCCCCTCCAGTGTCCTGCAACAATTCCTAATTCTACTTCCGACTGTCCCAGACTGGAATGAACGTTAATTAAGTTCCTTCTTTCCATTCTACATAAGTTTAATATACAGCATTTGATCAACTCACTCTGGTCCACCATGGAGGTTCTGCTAGTTGTTCCCTGCACTTCTATCTGAATCCCTGATCATTCTATTAGTAACTGGTTCAGTTGGTTTATTTCTCAAACTGCAGTGCAAATGCAAACCTGTTTCTGATTGGTGTATTGCACTGGGAAATTATACACACACACTTTGAACATTATTATTAGTATTTAACTCGATATAGGGACAACATATATCTGAGGTAACAAAGTAAAAAACATCTACAAAGGGAGGGAAAAGATCAGATGAACTGTTGATATGAGCTGTAGGAACTAATCCAGAGATCGGAGAGACTGAACACAACCCAAGAGGAGAGGTAGAGACCATGGCAGGATTGGCAGAGGAGCTCTGGACTGTGATTACTCTAAGCAGCATGCATGGGAATTAATTACAATATAATATAATTTAATATATTTTTAGTTTTTCCCTGATGGTCTAAACAAATCGCTACATTTTTAACTAGTCGCTTTTCGGAAATAAAATCCATAAGATCGTCTGAAAAGTTGATAAATCTAGCGAAAAAAATCACGAAGTTGGCAACACTGGCTCTCTTTATGATCAACTTTGTGTGTGTGTCAGTGCACTGGTGATGTAGCGTGGAGCTTGTGTCGGTGCAACCTCACATTTCCAACAGTTCAAATGACACATATTCCATGAGCCATAAACATAATAATTTCATTTCTAATTATACATATCTCTACTTTTTCTCCCATTTTGTTGTTTTGTGTTTTCATGATTTATAACATTTTTGTATTTATAAAACCTTTTTAAATACAGTTCTAATCTTACATATGCATATGGGGAGTTTTATTTCCAACAAAATTTCCAAAAAAGGGTGAAATTAGCAAGCAACGATGGAAAAAGAACTGAAAATGACAGTACTTAAGAACAGTGTCTGTTCTGAATGCAGCATGTGTATTGAGTTGGGGTGCATTCAGTTTGATACTGAAGTTCAGACAGTCTTCACACAGTAAAGCAACCATTATGAATACAATGCTCTCTCTCTCTCTCTCTCTCTCTCTCTCTGCATTTCTTTTAACAGCCATATGGGATAAAGGTTCCCAACAGCTTGGCAGATCTATGCACTTGAAATGAGCCTATATGCAACATATTTGGACACGCAGAGACATTATGTGACCACAGTCCCTACAGCATAAAGTAAATCTTACACTTCATTTGTTTAAATTTCTGTTTAAGCATCTAGCTGCTTGTCATTTTGTGTAAATCTCCCCTCTTCTCTATTTTCTTGGTTTAATCCACAGTTGGACCTATTCCACAGGGGCTCTACCACAGTATAGGCTGGGTGGGTGGGGGTGAATATTGAACTCTATGAACTGGCTGCACTTTGAAACTCCATTTACTCTTGCAAGTTTATAATTCACTGGCCCAGGTTGGAGTATGAGCAACCCAGTGCTTGTGCTTTCCTTTTGTGTGTGTGTGTGCTTGTCCATATTGTATCCCTGCATCCCCAAATATTGAATTTTCCTGGTTCTTATTTTAGCCTCAGCAAGCACACGATCATAATTCTAGGAAGCGGAGCAGGCTGCGTTCAAGAGCAGCGAGGCGAGATGGGTTGCTAGGCTGGCGGGAATGGAATGGTTTCGCCATGGTAACGCCTGGTGAGGGACAAGAAAAAAGGAGGCGTTTGGGCGAGCAAGGGTCTCCATTCTGAGCATCTCCTCATTAAGAGGCATTGTGAGGCCCTCAGTGCCACAGCCAGGATTTACAGCCGCGGTAAATGAACGTGGAGTGGCGTCCGCGTGGTTGGTGAAATAAATTCTGATGAACAATTCACACGAGACACAGGTGGGAAGGAGAAACAGACAGAAAGCGGTGATAAAAAGGGGGAACTTTGTGGATAATGTGGTGAAGTGAAGTGAGGTGCTGGCACTCACTGAACGGAAAGCAGCAGCCACCAAGTTCGCTGGGAATAAATTCCTAAGAAAGGAAGAGAAAAACAAGTTAGACACACACAAAATGACAGCTGTTGTTTTTCCTGTTTGATTTCATGTAACCAGACCTTAAATACGGGTAATAATTAAGCGTGTGGTTTGTTTTAAAAAAGCAAACAGACAGAAAGTCTGTTAGAACCGTGTGGTTAACCCATCTGAATGATGAAATTGTTCACAGGATTGGTTTGTCATCACACACTGCATGCACTCTGGCTCTTTTCCCAGGATCCTCCATTAAGTCCACTATTCCCTAAATTCCCTGACAGAGCAGTTGTTGTGGCACTGATCTACTGTCTGGTTCATCTTTTATTAAAACAAATCACCAAGGTCTTTACTAGGATTAGATATTCCTAGAAGTTTCACTGTATTCATTCACACTTCATTTTTACTTTATTTGATCAAATCCAGATTTTTCTTTTTCAAGAGGCATTCAGAAAAATTAAAAATGAAACTTTGGAAGGTAATGCCAAATTTGAATTATTATTTAGCCTTGGTTACGAAGATGTCCTTTCTCTCTCTTTTGAGTCACAGATGCCCCCTGAGAGTCTAATACTAGACTAAACCGTCTTAGTCCTAGTCGACATGCTTTTCATTAGCAGAATAGTCATTAACAGTTAGTATTTTAACAGGCAGCTGTTAAAATATATGGCTTTAACTAACAACTACTAGGTCTAAGAAAATCTTTAGTCAGGGGCAGCCCTACAACACACTGTGAAGCCTAATATCACTTACTGTATCTACATTGGAGGAACCAGTGGCCTACACAAAGGTGGGGGATCTTGAATCAAAAGAAGCTGAATCTCCACTTTAAATAAGTGTTTTATGTTTCAGCTCTGAGTAGCAGGTCTTCCTGTCAGGTTGCACACAGCCCCAAACAGCTCCACCAGTCAGATGTCCCAGTTCCACACAACTGTATGTATTAACTGTACACCATGTACCGGTTGTCATAGTGCAGTGTTTTTGTCATTACAGCAAAATTCAACATACTTTAAGGTTTTATACAAACTGGAATTACATTGTCATAGAGCCATGTCAGCAGATGTCAGTCCACATTAAAGGGTAGGTATAGACTATATAGTAATTTATGCAGTACAACCTAAAAACAAGTACAACAACTTTAAATGTAAAACTCAAACAAAAGTTAAAAAAAGTAACCTGAAAAAAGTATAAATCTGCACATTTCTGACACAAATGGAGCCTCATACAGATAAAAACTGAAAGAAAATACAATTATTTGTAACTTCTAGGCATTTAAAAGTTCAAGGGGTCAAGGTTTACTGCTATCACATGACCAAGGCGAGGATCTGGATTAACCCTGGGAAACCAGAGCTGGGAGCTGGCATGCTTTCTCCCACGGAGCCTCCTTTCTGTAGACTGATTTCTAAAGCTCTGTTACATAACAACTTGATTTCCTAATAAATCTAAGCCAAACATCATGCACAACCCCTCCAAGTGAAGGCGGCTGCAGCAACAGGTTGTTCAGCTCATGTGGTCGGCAGTGTTTCTGACTTTCTGCTCTCTTTCTGCGTGTTTAACCCTCGCTGCAACAGTTCACACATTTCCAAACATTTATTCTCTGCACAGAAATATAAGAAAACATGAATTTGATCCTTATTTGTTTATTATTTAAGTGTTTATCTTTGTTCTGTGTTTGTAACCAACTCCACATCTGATAGAAAGAGAGACTCTACAGAAACATTTCAGGAGGCTTATCGTCTTTATTAGCATCAGGTGAAATGAAAAATGTCATTTTAACCCTTTAAGATCACATCCTTACTCAGTCTTACTCAGAGTACATTAAATTACCAAAAGCACCAAAATGTCTTCTCTTCTCACGTTATGTGAACCTTTAAATGTGATCCGCCCTCCTGCTGGAGACCCCACAGCTCACAGTTCAGGAGTCTCTGAGCCCTGTTTGAACTTCTAATGAGAGTGTTTGGACAGAGAAATGATACAAATCCCAGAAGAAAGGAGCTCCTCATTAAGACAATATTTGGACTTCAAGTAGAACTTAAAGTTCTGTCAAAGTTTATATCCTTTATTCCTTAATATCTGGAGAGTATTTCTAACCTTTGTGAGTGAAAATGATCCAATTTTAAAACACCCCGAACTGTTAAAAGAGAGAAAAGCCTTCCTGTAGTGTTTGGAGCACCCTGACTCTACAGTGGAAGACTGAGAAATACAGCAGGCCGTCCACCTGCTCTCGTGATTAGAGAGAAGTGCTGACAGCAGCACACGGCGTTCAGTTTGTTCTACACCGAGCTGCTGGCGTTCATCCCGCCACCTCTTTCCCTTCCTCTAAATACACTCCACTCTCCCAACAGCTGTCAGCTTTCCCTCACACTGTGGGAACTTATTTTAGGATTCCTCCTGTACGGATCAGTGAAGGGTCGGATAACATAGCTGCTCTGTTGAGTGTAAGAACGTCTTTCATCTGTGTATCAGTGAATGACGGCAGTCAATCCTTTAGCTAACCTCAACTGAATATAGAGAATTAGTGTCGTTGTCCATCTCTCTCTCTCCTGTCCCATCTCAAACCCCTGTAGACCCTAAAACTGCAGTCTGGGATCCACTGATGTGTAAAATGACATATAAAGTAGGGTTGGGTAAATATATCAGGTGATTTTTGAGTGATTTTTTCACTTTATTTTGCTAATTTAAAGTCCAGGTGAAATAAAAAAATGTGATTTTAACTCCTTTTCAAAACAAAAGTGTCTTATCATTATATCAGTGGCATAAAATGTCAATAATATTGTTTATTGCAGTTTTTCCTGGGAGAATAAAAGTAGTTAACAGAGCAATATGTAAAACCTCTTACTTATGTAAAACTGAGTATTAAAAGAACAAGCAGTCTATATGTAAATAGTTTCTGTTAGTTCAGGTTCCCAAACATTCTCATGTGTTATGGTATTTTATAAGATCTTTGTATGTTGTATATGTAAAATCTAAGCAGTGGAGTGAGTCGGGACTGTAGTGGAAAGTGTCAGCCACTGACTGAGCCGCATGTGGAGGATCTGAGCTGCGTCTTTCATGCTGGGGTTAGTTTTTGGGCTTATTTAAAGTAGCTAGAGCTCCAGGCGTGTGTGTGAATGACACTCAGGGTGATGTTGTGAACCAGCGTTTTTGTCCACTCTCAATTTGAATTGCAAATCAAGTTTCAGGAGTTACACAACACACTCCTGGTGAACTTCTCTAAGCATTTCCAAAGAGAGCTGCAACCCACAAACTCCTCTGCACACACTAACAACAGCTGCAGCATATTGTAGACAATCTGACCCCTAAACTGCAGGCTGCACTGACCTGCGAGCTGATCTGGGAGCTGATCTGGGAGCTGACCTGGGAGCTGACCTGGGAGCTGCTGTATGTAAAGCTTCAGCCTCATGTGTGTAACTAACCAGTGTTCCCTCTGTGCCACTATTCCCCTCAGATCTCCCGCAGTATCACAGCAGGCTGCTTCATATTCAACACTGGCCTATATCAGAGTGTAATGATTACAGTGCTGCTCCAGTACCTGGCCAGATCCAGAAACGAGTCCGCGGTCTCCTTGTTGCTGGTGACGCTCTCCAGTCCCAGGCTGTTGGTGTTCAGGGCTCCCGCGCCCACGCCGGGTTTGATGATGAAGGCCAGGGCCACCCCGATCCCGGAGGCGATCAGCGTGGTCACCAGGAAGTAGGCGACCGCGATGCCCCCCAGCTTGCCCAGGGAGCGCGTGTCCAGGCTGGCGGCGCCGGATATGAGGCTGCAGACCACCAGGGGCAGGATAATCATCTTCAGCATCCGGAGGAGCATCTCTCCGGGGAAGGCGAAGTAGGTCATCTGCGCCTTGGTCAGGTTCATGCTGCGGACCATCATCCCGAGCCCGACGCCCACCAGCACCCCGGACACCGTGAGGATGACCAGCAGGTTCTTCCTCAGAAACTCCACCAGCCTCTCCCCGAAGCTCTTCTGCGCGCTCTTCTCCAGGATCCGGTCCGTGGAGGCCGAGCTGGGCATGGCGTGCCCGTTGATCTCGCTCTTTTTCTCCATCCTTTTCTCTTCAAAGGGCAGCGTGGGAAGCAGGGAGGCCGGTTTAAGGCAGACAGCGTGGGTTACAGATGCACTCACACTCACGCACTCTGCTGCGTGAAGGCTGGTCCGGAGTGAAAAGGCTGAGCGCAGGAGGAGGGAGAGCCAATGGAGACGCAGCGACGACACTGGAACATGCGCACAAAAGCCGGCACTTTATACCAAGAGCAAATGATGCAAGAGCGGGGGATATTGCCAGGGTCTCTGGCAGTGTGGCACGTTGCCTGCCCTGAATATGAACAGGTTGAACAAGATGATCAAGAACCAGATTAAAACACCAGAAGAGGACAGCCTCCCTGACTCTGCCCTGATACTCCTGTAATGATTCAACATATTAAAATATATAATGTGTTTAAAATGTACAAATGCATGAGAATGACAAAAGATTCGCTCTCATCCTGGTTATCATTACAATATCTGTACTTTTCAACACATAAGATCCCTTTTCCAGTCCAGATTTATTTGATCTTTTGATTTTCCTTTTCCTCAAACGCACCTCCAAACATCCAGTGCAGAGGCGGTGTCCCTTCAGCAGTACAGGGTCTATTTAACGCAGCTACAAACCTGCAGTCAGTCCAGCTTTCACTGCTCTTTATGGATCAAAATCCAATCAGGCTGCAAGGAAGAATAAGATTTTAGAAACATCAATAAATCTCCTTATTTATTAAGTTTAATTCGATTCTTGAACTTTAACATTTTACAAGCATTTAAGAGTCCATGTGGGGTGAGTTTTGGCCCCCAGTGATCCATCAGCTCCACAGGCTGAGGATGATGGATGGAGAGCAGAAGGCTGTCAGCACCATGGCCAGCGCCATCTAGGGGGCGCTGTTGCTCACCGTTTCTTTTTCACTTCATTTGAATGGAAACAGCAGATAGAATACAAATGTTGCATGAAACAATGGTTATTTTAGAAAAGCAGAAAGTTAAAATAAGGACTAATATATTGCTCATAATGGCCACTGGATTTTTAAAAACATTTATTCATGTGACTCCTCGTTGCACCTCTGGCGGTTGACCACGAGATGGCGCTATGATAAAGGTGTTTTACATGTATTTACACAGCAGACAAAGCAAAGCTAAAGTGGCACATTAAGAATAATAGGAAGCAATAATTAAACTTATTCTGACTGGCTCCTTTTATTTGTCATTTACTCCATTGGTTTCACTGTGTTTCCTCTTTTTGTATGACATGTGCTGCATAAATACCCTAAATGTTTATTATTATTCTCACATATATTAAACCAGAGTTAACAAATAAGCTTAAATATGAATTAGGCCTATTTTTGAATGTTTTTTACTATAAAATATGAAATTTGAATGCATTGTTGGACTGTTTTGTTCCATGTATGAACTGAAGATTACATTATTAAATACAATTCAAATATTTAAATAATAATAATTAAAATAGAATAAAATAAACCCACCAGTGGCTTACAAGAATGTCAAGATGTTAAAGGGAAACTCACCAATTTTACAAATCCAAGTGTGTTTACAGGTGTTGGGGATTACTGCCACATTACTAGTTACATTACCTTTCTGCTGTGGTTGACAGAACTTTACCGTAATAAATACAGTACAACTTTTATACTATTACGGTAAAAGGATTTTGGAAGTTTTATTCCATATTTTACTGTATAAATAGTTTTTAAACATCAAAAGAAACAGTTTTGCCAGATGAATGCTGTATAAAAAACTTTTCGTCTTGAGATATGACGATAATTTCCTGCACAATTTACTGTCCATAATATAAAAAAGTACTTTATTTCATATAAATTCCTTTAAAATGTTGTATAAATAAAGGTTTTGCCATGAGATATGATATACTGTATTTAACCTATTTAGATCTTTTGCTGTCGTGGTTTTGGCAGTTCACCGTAAAATATACAGACATCTTTTCACAGTGCAGGAATAGAAAAAACATCGTGAAATATAAATGTAATAAGTTTAACAAGAATGGAAAAAAACTGTAAAATCAGTTGAGCATTTTATAAAAGAACATTTGAAGGACTGTCTGTACAGACAGAAAGAAGTCTGTCTCGCTGCCTCTGTTACTGACTGTCGTCTGTGTTGTCCTCAGTGACCTTAGCTCTGCTGTTGCTAAGTTGAGCTAAACTTTCCCTCCCTCCACCAATAGAGACAGATTGTCCCCCTTCCCCTCACAGCTGTGTGGCCTGAATGCTGGAAATAACCGCCGGCCTGCGGATCAGGAGTCATGGCTGTTTAACAGTGGCGAATGTTGGCACTGCGCCGCAGTAAACTGGAAGAAAAAAAACAATAACAGAGAAGGCCCAGGCCGAGCCTTATAATGGACACTGTTACTCAGCCAGGACGAGCCGTAACCCAGAGACATACATAGTGCATCAAGCTGGTAGCAAGCAACCAACCCAGATCCAATCAGTATGATCAATGTCTGATATGATGGATGGGATGCAGAATAACCAGTTTTATACTGGAAAACCTGAATATGACCTGACTTAATAACAGCTTTTACAAATGTATGTATTTCACTTCCCAATCTTTTTCTTTAAGGGAGCCCTTTTCTATCGTTTAATAAACTGACTTAGTGACATATTTTATAGATATTTCATATTAAATTAAAAACTGTACAATGAACCCAAACAGAAACTGTAGGAAGTTTGTGTGATTTGGATGAATTCTGAGCAGATTATTTCCTATTTAGGGAACTTTTTATACAATTCTCTGTCTGTATTATGTATTTTTTGTAATTTGTAACAATCATAATAGGCTTTTCTCTTGTCCCCTGATGCTTAGCCATTTTTCTTTTAGACAATTTACTTCATAGAAGTGAACCAAATGCTGAGATAGAGGCCTACTGTGTATAGTTTTTAAGTGTTCCTAAACAAGTTAACTGTGAAGCCCAAAAACTAAAAAAACATCTTTTAACAAGCTAACTTTTAACTATTTCCACGATGATATTGCATTCACATATGTTTTTTAAAAATAAAAAAAATAAAGGATCTAGTAATTATGTGATTATGAGAAAAGATCTATTAAGTAAGAGTATAACGCTTTGTATTTATTTTTGTTTAACTAACACTATTATTTATTGATTTATTCACTTATAATCTATCTATAGCTTTGTCAGCTTTGGGGCTCCATAGAGGACCACATTATCCTGGTATCCCTCAGCCTGGAGACATTTCTTTCTAAAAGAATCTCCTGTGCTGTAAAAATACCCATCTGAAGAAGTCACTCATTCTGTTTTTTTGGGAATGTAAAGGTTTTGGTTCCTAGAATTGAACATAAACGGGCTGATTCCAGTATTTCTTGCCTCAATATATTTAAATATATGCAGTTTTAGGCCAAAATACGGGATTAGCATGAAGTGGGCATGTCTGCAAAGGAGAGACTTGTGGGTACCCATAGACCCCATTTTCATTGAGATATCTTAAGGTCAGAGGTCAAGGAATCCCTTTAAAAATGGCCATGTCAGTTTTTCCATCGCCAACATTTAGCCTAAATTTGCAGCGTTATTTTGCCCTCCTCCTAACATGCACGCATGACATGGTTGGTGCCCATATGCATTAGGTCATCTAGTTTCATATGATACCTGTATCTATAACTCTAGCTTTAAAACAGAGCTGGCTACAGCCCCTGAAAGACAGTGCAGAGTGGATAAGGGCAGGATAATGTGATGACAGCAATCAGATTTCACAGGTGGTCCGTGCAACCCCCTCTGGAAATGCTGATGCTGGACAAGTTGTCTGCGCTGAAGTTTCGGTTTTGTTATTAGGCTTAAGGCAAGAGTTTTTATTATTTTATATCATTATATCTGTTCTAACCTTTGGATGTTTGCACTGTACAGCACCTTGTAACTCTGGTTTTATCCATTAAAGCACAAACTGGTCAAAAGTCAGTTAATTATATAAAAATGAAGGTGAATGTGTTGAATGTCAAAGAACAAGACTGTACACAACATCAGAAAACAAGGAGACATCTGCTCTTTTTACAGTTTATTGTATATATATATACATATATATATATATAAAACTACAAAAGTAAGACTGTTTCAAATTCATAGACAGCTGTCCATTATCTCATATACTATATGTATATATTTATATATATTTTATCTACAGTCCACATTTGGATCCCATACAGTGATCAGCTGACAGTTTCTCTCTGTTTGTGTTCTATTGCATAGAAAAAGGCACAGCTCTGAAGTCTGTGTAAAATACAGCCTTCTTAGGGGAAATCAGCCTCAACTGCGGCCAGTCCTTCTCGGCGATTTCGAGCCGCCGTACGCTCAGACAGCGCTTAAACAGATTCGGTAACAAACACTGATCAAAAAAGTCTCAGGAGCTTGAATGTTGATCATACTATGTACATTACTTTTGGCATTGAAGCGTCTATGACAGGCTTTGGAGTATTGACATCTGAAGGTTGGAGACGGGTTTTTGAGTATTGCTGCATGAACTGTTCGCCTTCAACTGGAAAAAGATGAACGAATGAAACGAGTACAAAAAGATGTAAAAGGTTGTGGCCGCCACCCCACAAAAAGATAAATCAATAACAAAGCAACAAACAAACAGATAAACAAGATAATATAACTACCTATGTATATAAAAAAATGGCTTCCACCCATAATTCCACACTCAGATACATTCCTATCTGAAGTACATTCCTACCACACATTCTGTACACACATTTACAATCCAAATGTTCACTTCACATCAAAAATAAATATATTTACACAGAAAAGAAAAAAACAAAACGAATAAATAACTTCATTGACCAAAAAAAAAAAACAAGCACTCCAAAATTCAAACATAGTGAAAGAAAGAAGACGCAGTCGTCTGCAAACAGTATTAGTTGGTGCTGCTTTCTGCTCGGCTCACACTCAGCTTTGAATTCAGTTCAAATGCAGTTAATTTACATACTAGTTAAGGTCAAATGCACATTGTGGATACTAAAGATCTTCAATTGGAACAAGGTTTAACATCGCCCCCGACCTCACCGCTGTTGGCTAACACAGTAAAATGAGTCAGACTGGATTCCAGATAACACATTCTTTCCCATTAACAACTACTGAGTCCCATCAGCTGGGACCTCTGCTAGAAACACTATTAACATTTTACACCAAAGCATGGCTGTG